GACCAGGCTGGCCTCGAACTCACAGAGATCCGCCTGCCTCTGCCTCCCAAGTGCTGGGATTAAAGGCGTGCGCCACCAACGCCCGGCTCTGAGTCATCTTGACAGCCCTTCTTTTTATTACCTTTTTGTTTGTTTGTTTGTTTTCATGATAGGGTTTCTCTGTGTAACAGCCTTGGCTGTTCTGGGACTCAGTTTGTAGACCAGGCTGACCTTGAACTCACAGAGATCCACCTGCTTCTGCCTTTTGAGTGAGCCACCACACCTGGCCTTTGTATGACATTTTTATTTACTCTTTTTGTGTGTATGTGAGTGGCTGTGCCTGTGCCACAGTGTGTGCTTGTGGAGGCCACAGAGCAAACCCTCAGAAGTCAGCTCTCTCTCCACTGTGTGAGTCCCAGGGATCAAACTCAAGACATCCGGTCATCAGGCTTGCTAGCAGATACCTTTACCAGCTGAGCCATTTTGCCAAGTATGTAAAATCTTCAAGTATCAATAAGATCCTGCAGTGTCTAAATGAAACTCCTTAGTTCAAGTGAACTGAACTTTTTGCCACCACTTCCCAAGAGGTTGCTGTTACAGCTGCACACTGATTTGCCTTGGTTTCATCTTCTAGTTGATGGGCATTTGGAGAGTACGGTTTTTTTTATTTATTGCCATTGTTTTAATAATTATTATGTGTGTGGGGTTTTTAACTGCATGTATGTCTGTGCACCATGTGTGTGCCTGGTGCCATGGATGCCAGAAGAAGGCACCGGATCCCTTGGAACTGGAGTTAGAGAGGGCTGTGAGCTGCCATGTGGGTTCTGGGAATTGAACTGGGCCTTCTGCAAGATCAACCAGTCTCTTCACTGTTGAACCATCTCTTCAACCCACGGAGAGTTCAAACAGTTCCACTTAATGCAGAGCAGGTTTAATAAACGCTTGGAAAATGGCTTGGCCACAGTCACAATGTGGGAGCGGGCCCCAGGGCAGGTGGATGTAATCCAGGGAAGGGGCTTTGTGTGGACATGCGATCAAAGAATCAGGGGAGCCAGGGGCTCACACAGATGACAATCAGCAGGGCTGGGAGGCAGCAAGGTTCAGAACGACAGGATCCCAAGCTCAGAGAATGACATTAGGTGGTGAGGGTTTCCACTTCTCTTTCTTCCATTGCTGTATCCTTGTATGAGCACAAACCTCTTTGGTCTTCTTTCTGTGCGTGTACATGTTCATACACTTGTACATGTGGAAGTTAGAAGACAAGTTCAGATGCCATGGGGTGTGTCACTTGTATGTGGACCTCAGCCCTCAAGCACCTGTCATAGTGTCCAGGTTTTTGTGTCCCACAGCAAAGACTTAGACCAAGGACACATGGTTGAAATGAGGACAGAGACAGTTTATTGAGAAGGAGAACATGCCTGAGATCGGGAGTGGGCTAGTGAGCGGAGGGAAAGCCCAAAACAGAGACTCCTGAACCATGTAACTCTTTTTTTTTAAGATTTATTTATTTATTATGAATACAACATCCTGCTGCCATGCCTGTCTGCACGCCAGAAGAGGACACCAGATTTCATTATAGATGGTTGCTGGGAATTGAACTCGGGACCTCTGGAAGAGCAGTCAGTGCTCTTAACCTCTGAACCATCTCTCCAGCCCCCATGTAACTCTTTATAGGGCTTCTTCATGGCAGCTGCTCCATCCATTTTAGGGAATCCAGATGTTCCGTAAGCTGTCTGTGGGATAAAACCCAGATGACAACAGGCTTCTTTTAGGTTAATCTTCTGTTATAGGTCTACCTTTTGCTGAGGCGGGGTCTCTCATTAGCCTGAGACTTTGCCAATTAAGCTAAACCAGCCAGCTAACAAAAAAGCTTCCAGGGACCCCCTTATCTCCTCCCACCTGGCTGTTGCTGGGGTGCAGGCACCACACTGGCTCTTTTGCATGAGTTCTAGGGATGGAGCTCCTATCCTTACATTTGTGAGGCAAGTGCTTTTGCCAAATGAGTCACCTCAGAAGCATGTGTTTGCTTAAAAACAACAAAACAACTTTTGTTACATTTATTTCCTTTTGTGTATGGGTACATAATGCACTATGTCACACGTATGGAGGTCAGAGTGTGGGTCTTGGGTAACAAACTTGGGCTCAGCTGCAAGCCTCTTTAACTGCTGCACTATCTCACTGGCTCATTATTTGCTTTTTTGAAACAAGGTATTACTCTGTGGCCCAGACTGGCCTGGAACTCCCTATCTTTCCTAGGCTAGTTTCAAGTCAGTCAGTGGCAATCTGTTAGCCTCCACGGCACGGCACGAGGACTTGGAATTACAAGTATGCGCTACCTCATCCAGCTGGTTACAACTCCTGAATGGAGAAAGCTCAGCCCCTTGCTTCCAGCCACACCTTACTTAGGCAACCCTCTGAATTCCAGGAAGAGAGGAATCACTCACTCACATGTGTGTACCCATGTGTTTGCCGTGTGTGTGTGTGTGTGTGTGTGTGTGTGTGTGTGTGTGTGAGAGAGAGAGAGAGAGAGAGAGAGAGAGAGTTGGGGTGACAGGGAAGAGAGGAATCACTCACACGTGTATACCTATGTATTGGTGTCTGTGTGTGTGTGTGTGTGTGTGTGTGTGTGTGTGTGTGTGTGTAAGCTGGAGTGACAGACCATAGGGAGCAAGTTCTGGGAGTGACTCTGGGAGTGGCTCTGGGAGTGGCAGAAAGTTCCACAGGTAGATGACACTCAGTCAACAGATACGATAACACTGGACCCTCAGACACAGGGAGAGCTCATCAGAAGGCCACCCGAATAAGATACTCAACTTAATCAAAGCCTAAGGAGGGGCAAGAGAAATGACAAAGTGAACTAGTTAAGACATGTGAACCAAGCCAACAACAAAAGACATCTTTCTGAACGTTAAACCCTTGAGCTAAGGCCTGGGAGATGGCTCAGTGGGCAAAGGTGTTTGCTTGGCAAGCCTGGAGATCCACAACCTGCTCCACAAATTGGCCTCTGGTGTTGGCTTTCACTTGTGGTATATGCTATCTGCCCTCCCCAATATATATTAGACTTAAGGGCTGAGACTATAGTTCTTATGGACCATGCTTGCTTAGCATGAAACTCTGGGTTTGATCCCTACCACTTTATAAAACACATCTGATGATTTCTTCTTCTTCTTCTTCTTCTTCTTCTTCTTCTTCTTCTTCTTCTTCTTCTTCTTCTTCTTCTTCTTCTTCTTCTTCTTCTTCTCCTCCTCCTCCTCCTCCTCCTCCTCCTCCTCTCCTTTTCCTCCTCCTTCTCCTTCTTTTCTTTTTTTTTTTTTCGAGACAGGGTTTGTCTGTTTAGAGTTCTGGCTGTCCTGGAGCTCAGTTTTTAGACCAGGCTTGGCCTCAAACTCACAGAGATCCACCTGCCTCTGCTTCCTGGGTGCTGAGGTTAAAGGTGTACACCCTTCTCATCCAAGCATTTGGGAGGTGGGTGTAGGAGGAACATAAATTCAAAGTCATTCTTGGCTTCAAATGGAGTCTGAGCTTACCCTGAGCTACTTGTGACTTGATTTCAAAAACAAACACTTCTCAGAATTCTCAAGATACTCCCCCGGCCCCAAACAGCATCCTGTTCACCATCCCAGCTGCTCCAGATGCACTTATTATGTAAACTACACCCTTATCTCAAAATGCCGCCTGCTTCTCTTTCTTTTCTTTTCCCATCCTTCTCCTACCTCCAAGGCTGGCCTCAAATTATCTCTCACTATATAGGTAAGGATGACATTGAACTCCTGATTTTCTTGTCTCCACCTCCCACGTGCTGGGATGATAGCTACCTACCGTCATGCCAAGTTTATGTGTTGCTGGGGATAGACCCAAGGCTCTTTGTGTGCTACAGAAGCATCCTGCCAACTGAGCTATAACTCAGCCCTAAAAATGCTCTTAACTCTGGGTCCAGTAGATGTCATCCCAGTAGTTCTCTAGTCCTTCTTCTGGAACTTTCAGGATGCTGTTCCAGGACTCATTTCTTTTATCTAGCTAGCACTAGTGGCTCTGTAGCCCAGGCTGGTCTGGAACCCAGGAGCCTCCTGCCTCTATCTCTGAAGTACTGGTCACGAATCCCACAATCAATACCCAGGTCAAAGAGCCCTTATATTTCAGAGAGCCCTTGGAGACCAGCGCTTTGGTTTAGCATCCTCTATGGGTAAGATCTCCTGTAAGGTGTCCCTGTCCCCCTGGGGTCTGTGGATTGACCTACTTAAGTGACACCTTTTAGTTGCTCAGCTGGGCTGAGGCTGTCAGACAGATGCTCTCAGTTTCTTCACACGCCTTCGTGGAGACCTTTCCTACCCTCTGTAATCATGTTCCTCGACAACCCACAAACTGCCAGGAGATGTCTGAGGCCTTGACTTCCTGTATGCCACCTAAGTAGAGATGTCCTGCCCCACAAAAGGCAGAGTCCACATCGTGTTTCCTTTTTTTCCCCCCTTCCTTTCCTCCTTCTGTTCTTCCTCTCTTCAATCCAGGACCCGCTGAGCATCCTCTAAGTGCAAGACAACGATGGATAACGATGCTTGCTGCCAAGCCTGATCATCTCAATTTCATCCCCAGGACCCAGGAGTGAACTGAGTCCTACAATTGTTCTTTGACTTCTCACAGTGTGCAGTGGTACGTGCACACACACACACACACACACACACACACACACACACAGACTGACACAATAAGTAAATGTAATAAAAATTAACTCCCAGGGTTCGCATTCTCCAGCAACCCCCACCAACCCGCGGCAGGTAAGGGGTTTTATAGGGTGTGAGAAAAGTCGGGGTTACAAGAAAGGTGCACTGGCCCAGACATCCCAGGGCTATCTAGCCTCCATAGTCGTCAAGTTCAAGGTGGGGAGGGGGACTCGGGGACTGGAGGACACAGAGTGGCTGGATTGGTTGGTGGGCCAGAGGCACGGTGATCCCGCCCAACTGGTTGCCAAGGCCCAGCCTATCCCTGTCCAGGAGAATGTTGGTCTCCAAGTGCTTGAGAAGGAGCAGGTGCAAGAGCTTGAGTCGGGGACTGTGAGGGTCTTCAAGGCATTTCCCTACTAAGCATCTCTGTTTAAGTCTGTGATCGTTGGACAGAGCCACTGAAATAGGCCTCCACCGAAGTGGTCTCAGGGAGGCCGCACGCCTCTTCTTTCGCCCCCCTCGGCGCGTTCCCGGCTCTGGATCGAGAGCGCGCGCGCATCCTGGGCTCTCCCCGCCCGCGGCTGAGGGGCGGGGCCGCGGCCAGGCTCCCCAGGCACTGTCGCCTGCAGCCCCCTCCCCTTGCCTTCTAGCTGCTCCCCGCCACTGCTGCTTCGGCCCAGCCCCACCCCAGGCGACCCTGCGTGGAGCGGCTCGTGGCCAGAGGCGTAGGTGAGCGCGTCGTGTGAGCAGGTGGAGCGGGCAGATTGCTGGCTTAGGGGACCGGGCTGGGGGAGGGGTCGGGGCCGGGAAGCAGCTCTTTGTCTCCCGGAGCCGTTCGCGGGCAACGAGGCCACTCTTTTTCTCCCTGCAGGTGCCTGGGGAACCTGGAGAAGGACTCTGGTGAATCCTACTCGGTGTGCACTCGGAGGACCCTGAATCAGGAAGCCCTGTTTGGGGGACTGGTCATTCGGGTCTCCGAGAGGCGAGGGGTAGGGGCATGGATGTTGTTCTTGTAAGAAGGCCGAGGCTCGGGCGTGGGTGCGGTGGGGGGAACGCGAACAGGGCGTCAGCTTTGGGGAATGGAGGTGGCAGTGGGGCTTGAGGACAACACTGAGCGGCCGGGTTGGTGAGCAGGTGTGGGTGGTTGGAAGGAGAGCAAACTGAGGCTCTTGAGGATGAGGTGTAGCACCCATCGGTGGCGATCCTGGAGGATGCACCGGGAGGCGCCAGGCTGGTTTAAAGTGGGTGGTTCAGGACCTGGGATGTTGATCCTTCTGTCTCCCTCATCAGGAGCGACATGGACAAGAGAGATAGGGTTAAGGCAGGAGCCACCCCGCGGATGCCAGCTTCACGACCTCCTGGCCCTCTGAGCCCCAGGCCTCCTCCAGGATCCCCACGACCTCCTCCCCCTGTAACCACCGCTGCCCTTAAAGTGCTGGAAGCAAACGGAGCTATGGGGAGAAGGCCCCTGGTGGAGCGAGCCGCGGGCGCTGGCAAGGCGGCTCTTCCACAGACCGCTGTTCAAGGGGCACCAGCGCGCAGCACGGGGGCAGGTCCTCGAAGCCCAGGTACTCAGCTTCATTTGTGACTCCCATCTTCTCACCGCTCACCTTCCCTCTTCCTTCTCGGATACTCCCCTTTTTCAGAAATACCACTGATTTTGTCTTCCTTCCGAAGCCTCTAGGCCCCCAACTTCTGGGAAAGGAGAGAGGGTCCCTGTGAAGATCTCTGGCCAGGGTTCTATTACTAGCCCTGGGCGAGCCAGCGGTGGGATCACCAGGTACTATGCCAATTCCCCTAACTCCTTAATTCCCCCAAGCAAGGGCTAGTTTAGCAGTCTGGTTCCTTGATATTGCACAAGAGTGAGCTGGGAATGCGGCTCAGTGTGATAAATGCTTGTTGCATAAATGTGAGGACCTGAGTTAGAAACTCTAGCACCCATGTAAAAGCCTGTATCGAGCCCTGGATGGGAATGGGAGGTGGGGGAGGTGTGTTCCTGGTGCTTGACAGAGGAAGCCTCAAGCTGCAGCTTCAGGGAGAGATCCTTTCCCCCCAAATTTCCGGGTGTGCTGGCACTTGCTGTTGATCCCAGCCCTCAGAAGCCAGAAGCATATGGACCTCAGTGAGTTTGAGGTCAGCCTGGTCTACATAGTGATACTAAATAAAACAGAATGCAAAATAAGGCATAGAAACAATCCAACTAGATGCCAGTGTTTACTTCTGGTACCCACATGTGCATGCATGGGTTAGCACAATGGTACACACATGTGCACACACATACCCAAAAATATTTCACACAAGTTAGCTCAACAACACTTGCAGATCATGGCTCAAATTGGGCAAAAGCCGTCATTGGTTGGGTCGCAGGAGGCAAGCAACTCACAGGTAGGGAATGTGCAATACCAACAATGGCTGGTACTCCTGTTCCCAGACCAGGCCCTGTTGTCCAGAAGGGACTCCAGCCCCCGGCTAAGGAGCCTGTGGTCAGAGGTAAAGCTACAGAGGCACCCAAAAGGAATACTCTGAGCTCTGGAACACGAAGAGGTATGCGACCTGGAGACAAGCAGCTTTCTGTCAGTCTTTGATGACAACCAGCCTCGGGTACCCATGTTTCTTTTGGATTTTTGTTTTGTCTGTAGATTCCTTAGGGCCCGCGTCAGGAAGCCCCTCTCCTGCCATCACTCGTCGGTCCAAGGCCCCGGCTACAGAGGTGGGAATTCCTCGACTAGTTCCCGCAGCCCGGCAGCGTCCCCCGACCACCGAGGCACCCAGGAAACCTGTGAGCAATACAGCAGAACCCAGTGCCACGGAGCTGAGCCCAGCCTTCAGGAGGCGCTCTGCCGCTGGTGGCAGCCTGCAGAAGCCGGCCTCCCGTTCCCTGAGCTCCAGTGCTACCCCTCAGCTCTCCCCAGCCCGCTCTGGGGTCTCTCCGCGTGTAATCCCCCGGGCTCCTGTGCACACCTCTCTGCTCAAATCGAAAGGGCAGCAAGCTCTGCGCCCACCCCAGACCACAGTCCCGAGGAAGGACAGAGCGTCTGCACAGAGCCTGCTTTCTGCTCCATCTTCAGCCACTCCCGCAGCTCCACCTGCAGCCACCGCAACTCAGGCTTCAGTCACGCCCACCGCTCCACCTGGAGCCGCCACAACACAGGCTTCCTGCGTCCAGGCCCCAGAGGATCCGTTGGAGACCACGCTCCCTCCCTCTCCACCTGCCACCCCGCCTCTACCTGCTTCACTTCAACTCCAGGCACAGCCCTCCACCCAGGCCACAGCCGATTCGCAGGCCATAAACTGCCCGCCATCACCTCCCCAGCTTTCTCTGCAGAACCTCCCTTCTCCGCCAGCCACGCCCCCTTTGCAAGTTCCGCCCCCAAATCTGGGTACTGAAGAGGCCTCTGACTCACCCCCACCAAAGGCTGCAATCTCTCCATCCCTTTCACCCCTTACACAGAGTATGCCCTGCAACCAGGTTCCTTCAGCTTCGCTCCCGGAGGAGACTCTCTTGGCCACGCCTTTCTCACCTGCGCCTCTCCCTCTAGCCACGCCTCCACCTCTAGCCACGCCCCCTCCACAAGTCCTTCCTTCTCTGCCAGTTTCTCCGCAGAATCAGCCTACTCCCCTTGTCGAAGGCTCTCGGTCGACCCTGTCCACTCTAACCACGGCCCCTTCCCCTGCCAACTTTTCTGTCTCTCCGCCCCTCCTCCAGGCCACGCCCTGTAATCTAACCACGCCCCCTTCGCAAGACACCCTGCTGCTGGCCTTTTCTCCTCCCGTGTCTTCCTCTCCCCCCCTCCTCACCACCTCTGCACGGTCCCCCCTCTCCCGTGGCCACGCCTCCCCCTGAAGCTCCCACCATCTCTGATTCTGCCCGCTTCCCAGGCCTCTTTGTTGACCTCGACACCCTCCCTGCCCTCGTCGCCCCAGCAGGCCACGCCTCCTCCTTTGGCCTCGTCCCCGCTCTCGGCGGCACTCCCTCTGGGCTCGCCCCCTCTGCAGGCCTCGCCTTCTTTCCTGCCTACACCCCCTATGCAGGCACCCTCTCCCCCTTCGCCTCCTTTGCAGGCGCCTTCTCTGGCTACATACCCTTTGCCTCTCCCCTCGTCCCCGACCTCACCCCCTCTGCCAGCTCTTCTCTCCCCGCCTGCCTCGCCTCCTCTGGAGGACCCTCTTTCTCCCTCGCCCTCACCTCCGTCTCCAGTGGCAACTCCCCCACCAGAAGCCCCACCTTCGCTGGGCTCGCCCACTCCTCTGACTTCACCCCCTCCGCAGGCGCCCTCTTCTCTGGCTTTGCCCTCTCTGCAGGCTCCCACCTCCCCTCTGGCCGCAGAGGCGCCTCCCCTGCAGGTTCCCCTCTTGGCTTTGCCTCCGCTGCAGACCCCGCCCTCTCCCCTGACCACGCCCCCTCCGCAGGCCTCTCCGGGCCTGACCTCGCCCCTTGTTCAGCCTCCCTCTCCTCCCGCCTCACCCCCGCTGCAAGCCCCTCGTCGACCCCCGACCCCAGGTCCGGATGTCCCGATCTCAAGTCCACGGCTGACCCTGTCGCTGGCCCCTGCCCCGCCGCCGCCACCCTCGCGAAGCCCGTCCAGTACACTGAGTGGCCCGGACCTGGCAGGCCACAGCAGCAGCGCCACGAGCACCCCGGAGGAGCTCCGCGGCTACGACAGCGGGCCCGAGGGCTGCGCCACAGTGTCCCCGGCCGCCGACGCGGAGCTAGCGGCCTGCCACCCGGCCTCCTGGAGTCGAGGTCCTGCTCCACCGTTGGCAATACGAGGCGCTCCAGGTAAGGATTCCAGGCTCCGGGCAGAGCTTCCCAAGGAGTCGTCAAGCTCCTTATCTGGTCTTTTCTTATTTACATTTTATATTTATTTTGTGTGTGTTTATGTGCGTGGAAGTCAGAGAAAGTGTATTCTCTTGCCACCATGTGAGTTACGAGGTCGTCAGGCAGGTTGCAAGCGCCTTTTTTTTTTTTTTTTTTTTTTTTTTGGTTTAGGAGACAGGGTTTCTCTGTGTTGTTTTGGAGGCTGTCGGACCAGCCCGGCCTCGAACTCACAGAGATCCGCCTGCCTCTGCCTCCCGAGTGCTGGGATTAAAGTCGTGCGCCACTGCAAGCGCCTTTACTCATCTTGCAACCTCTTCTCTCTCTTTTTTTAAGATTTATTTTTATTTATATATGTGTATGTTTGTGTGTGGCTCTGAGTTACAGGCGATTGTGAGCGACTTGAAATGCGTGCTTAGAACCGAACTCAGGTCTTTGAAAGAGCAGTGCTTGTTCTTATATTTTTGGTGGAGTCTAGCCTGTAAGGGCTGAGCCATCTCTCCAGCATGCAGCGCTTGTTCTTTATAGCTCTGAGCCTCCTCTCCAGCCCCACATCCTTAAAATCACATTTATTCATATTGCATCTCTTTGTGGGTATGCACTCCTTTGGTGCACTTGTGGAAGTCAGTCAATTTACATAATTCAGTTCTCACCTTACCAGTGGGTTGAACTCATGCCTTCAGGCTTAGTGGCAAGTGCCTTACCCGATGAACCATCTCTCTAACCTTTTTTTTTTTCTTTTTTGGTTTTTCGAGACAGGATTTCTCTGTATTGTTTTGGAGGCTGTCCAGGAACTAGCTCTGTAGACCAGGCTGGACTCGAACTCACAGAGATCCGCTTGCCTCAGCCTCCCGAGTGCTGGGATTAAAGGCGTGCGCCACCAACGCCCGGCTGCACCTAGGTCTCTTGAAAGGGCAACTAGTGTCCTTGACCACGGAGCCATCTCTCCAGCCCCCTGCTGGTTCTTAATTTTTTTTCACATCATGAATTTTTATTTATTCACTTGCTTGAACATTTGTGCGAGCTCATGTGTCACAGCGCCGATGTCAAGGTCAGACAACTTATGGGAGTTGGTTCCTTCCCTCCTGCTCTACGAAGGCTCGGGAGCAAACGCTGGTTGTCAGGCTTGGTGGCAAGCGCCCTTACCCATTGAGCCAATCTCGCTGGTTCCCACTTCTGTTCTTACAGGAGTTCCCCTGCCGTGGCCTCCCGCAGCCTGCCCCGGCTCCTCTGACGGCCTGTGCACCATCTACGAAGCTGAAGGACCGGAGTCGGTGGCCCCTACCCCTGGATCCCTAGAACCGGAACCGGAGCCGGAGCCAGAGCCAAGGCCTGGCTCTGGCGGTGGGAAGACTACTGCTGTGGCGGGTTCAGGAGCATCCTCGAGAAGCCCAAAGTCGGCTCGCCTGGGTGAGCTGCCGCTAGGGGCGCTGCAGGCGAGCGTCGTGCAGCACCTGCTGAGCCGGACACTGCTGCTAGCTGCAGCCGAGGGTGCAGCTGCAGGCAGCGAAGGTGGTTCAGGAGGCGCAGGGGCTGGCGGTGTCCCGGGGGGATCCCGGGCTCCGCTCAGCGATGCCGAATTGGGCCGCTGGGCCGAATTGCTGTCTCCCCTGGACGAGTCACGTGCCAGTATCACTTCAGTCACCAGCTTCTCCCCGGATGACGTGGCTTCCCCACAGGGCGATTGGACTGTAGTGGAAGTGGAGACTTTTCACTGAGCCAGACCCCAGCCCTGCTCACCACACACACATATATGGCTTTAGAATCCACCCCTCTGGTTACACCTCTTTTGTCTTAGTCTCCCACTTCCCCAGACAACTGGATGGATTGATTTTTTTGTTTGTCATTTACCTGTCTTGTTTACCCTGTCGTTGGGGTCAGGCCATGTCCCTATTCTTCCTTGGCTTAAGCTTGGAATGCACCCACACTTAGGGCTAGGCCTTTCATTTGAGCTTCTCTTTAACCTAAGTCACTGACTGTCCTTCTCTAAGGAGCCACACCACACCCTATGTCCAGTCGACGAAGTCTCTCGTATCAGTAGCCTTGTTTGCAGTAAAACCAGAGATGCTGGTGCCTGTGAGCCGTGGTGATAGGAACTGGGAAAGGGCCACACAGTTTGAAGGACCAGGCTACACCAGGCTGCTGGGTATGCCTAAGTTGGAGTTGTGGCTTAACCGTGTGACACTTTTTACAGTAAGGAGGCTGGTGAGACAGAGCCTACAATGGCCTTGTGCTCCTCTGGGTCTCACTTGTAATAAAACCGTTAGGATCAGGAAGGCCTTAGTGGATGAGCTGGTGACCTGACGGGGAGCCACCAAAGCTCTTCTTACCCTGGGTACCCCTTGCTACAGTCCCTTTGTCCTGTGTGCACCCCTTCTCTTTCATGCTTGAGAGTTGGACCTGGAGGATGAACTCCAGTGGAGAGGAATGGCGAGTCCTTGACTTCAGTTGATACCTCCTCCCTCTGCGATGGGCAGTGTCAAGTTGAAAATTGTAGAAGTCACCTGAAAAGGCAGGCCTCTTGGCATGCGTGCTTGGGCTGAGGTGGAAAACATCTACCCATTGTGGGTGGCACCACTCCTGGGCTGGGACCCTGGACTGTGTGAGCAGAGAGCTGGGCAGCAGTGTGCATTCGCTGCTCTTTGTGACTGTATGGCTTCCAGCTACGGTTGCCTGGACTTCCCCACAGTGACAGACTGTACCCTGAAGTGTGAGCCACAATAAATCCTTTCTCCCTTACATTGCTCCTCAAGGAATTTTTATCAGTTAAAGAAAAATAAACGGAGATAATCTCCCTCTCCTTTCACCAAGGAGGCAGCAACTCTCCCAGGTTTGCAGAAAGAACTTCTACAAACGTAGGACTGGAGTGGACTATACCTGGAGGGGTGTGTGTGCGCGTGTGCAGAAGACCTAGGAGCTGACTGACACCATGCCACTCTGTGTATCATCACCTTCTCTTACTGCAGATGATCTCATGATCTCATGAATTCTCCTCAGTTGCCATCTTCACTCAAGTCTTCCAACCAGAATTGCTTTCCACCTCGCAGCCATCAACCTGTCCCTAGAGGCCCTAACCTCAGGCAAGGCTCTCTCTCTCTCTCTCTCTCTCTCTCTCTCTCTCCAAGTGCCCCTGCATGACATTCCCTCTAGAATGCTACTGTCCAAGGATCTCCTGCTTGGCACTAACACTGTGGGAGTCAAAATGGCGGTGCCCTGTTTTGGGCCCCCTTACTTACTCTGTAGTCAGGTACTTGCCAGGCACAGACAACTAAGTTCTCTGTCCTCATCCTGAAGCAGCCACCTCCTCGCTTACAGTCCAAAGAGAAAAGGGTCCCATCTCAGAGGGCCACTGCTACCTCTGTTGAACTCTGTTGTTGGGGTGGGCAGATGTGCTGCACTCTAGCACTGAGATTTGGGGCAAGCCAGATTTCTTCTCTAGCTGAGCCCTGGAGGGAACCCCAGATATCCTTGTTCCCAGATGTCAAGAGCTGAAAGCTGACCCCTCCCCCCAAAACAGGGTTTCTCTGTGTAGTTGTGACTGGCCAGGAACTCGCTCAGTAGAACAGGTTGGCTTGGAACGCAGATCCGCCTGCCTCTGCCTTCCGAGTGCTGGGATTAAAGATGCCACCATGCCCAGCAAAAAGCTGACTCAACACTGGACAGTTAGGACCTTAAGGGCAACTTCTGTGAGGACTTTTCCTCATTGTCAGGCCCCAGCTCTGGGAGTCAGCTTGGGAACAGGAGTGTGTGGATGATTAGTGGCCCCACGGGAGCAGTAGGCATAGTGACAGGTATCGGTATTAGATCTGTGGGAGTGGGATGAATGGGAGCATTTGTAGGGGACTCAGCTACTCAGACATGGAGTCAGTGTTGTGTCCAGTCGCTCAGTGCCATTGGCAGTAAAGAGTTGTCTTTAAGTGCCCTTGGCCATACTTACCCCTCCCCAGCCACCAGCTGGAGCTAACCCTGGGTACTCCTCTCTCAGACAACCCTCCAATGCAATGTCCCCATTGCCTGACTCAGTTTGCCCTTTGATGCACTGGCCTGGTCACTGATCCTCAGTAGGGGGTTTCCCATTCAATAGGCTGTCTTCTCAGCCTTCTCCAGGGGCCCGCCCTGCCCTCAGTTCAAGCCCAAACTCAGATCCTGACTGGAGCAGTCTCACACCATCTTCCTGGTCTCAACCACACACCCAAGACCTGTTCCTTCTTCCAGGATATTCTGGCTCCTCCCCAGACGATGGTCCCCCCTCTCCCTTTAGTTCCCATGGCAACTGGCCTTTGTGCTTTTGCCCTCAGGGAAACCTCTCATGCTGCCTCCTCCAGGAAGCCTTTTTGATTTTTCTGCTCAGGTTGACTACTTTGGCATTACATTAATGGCAGTTCACCCCAACCCCTCAGCACCCATTCCCATGGCAGCAGAGACTCCATAGAGGCAGGCACAGGATACACTCCACTAGCCTCAAGTCTCCACTGCATGGACATCACTGGAACCAGTTCTTCCTGAAACTGGCCTTTGGATTAGGCAAGGCTCAAACCCTCTCTCCATCCTTTCTCACATAGACTAGCCACTGCATTCATCTTTGACCTTCCAGAACATACGGATGGGGTTCAGCACCTTCTTACTGTGGTCCTCCCAGCCCTTTGCCTCCACTCAGCAACCCTTGTGACTGTGTAAATACACTTTATTTTCCATCTTTCCTGCCTGGGAGACATGGAGTGTGAACAGGCAGTGTGCAAAATGGTGGTGGGCAGTGTGGAGGGGCACATGAGGGGCACATAGAGGGCCTCCTCAGGGTACCCTGCCCCGGCCCCCAGGCTTTTTAACACTTAAAGAGTGGGCCACCCAGGAAGCACCCAGGGATAGCTTGGGACGCCACTCTACCTGACGCTCTAGGAGCACTGAGAGGGGGTCAGCCCCCAGGGTCCCAAGATGCAGGGGTGAGGGATAGAGGAGCCTGGGAGCATCGATGGACTTTGGCACCATTCTAAACTCTGACTGGGCAGAGACCACGGAAACACTTCAAGATAAGGGAGGTAACTCTGACTGGGAAACTCTGGCCAGAAGTGGGGTCAGGAACAAGAGGACTGAGGCTGAGAACTCCTAGGGAAGGGGTTCTCTTCCACAGCCAGCCAACACGTGTGGTATTACTATTCCCCAGGGGAGGATGGGGGCTCTGGGGTAAGGGTCTCTTCTTTGCAGCTTCTGCAGCACTAGGGAGTGGGGGGCCACTGCCCAATCCTGAGCTGGTTCCCACTGACTACTCACACCCCAGGTGGCCCTGTACACAGGATGCGGGGGACTTTGGTTTCTGCTGCAGGGGTCGTGATGCCCGCACCAGGCAGAAAAGCCTAGCCTGGTCATCTGACCCTGGTGGCAAGGGGCTGGCTGTTCAAAATCACTGTGTCCAGAGAGCCTGTCCTGGGGTGCAAATATCCAATCCAAGTTGCCCCTCCTTCCTCAGACCCACTGCAGCTCCTGGGCCCCACCCAGCAGGGCCACCCTTGTCCCAAAGGAAAGCCGACTGGGAGGAGGAAGCTTCCTGCTTAGCAAGTCCTGGGACCTCTGCACTTTCGGCCCTTGTCCATATCAGGAGAGCAACACCCTCCAAGTCTAGGCACCCCTTGAACTCGGTAGGGCCTGGACGGTATGGACCAAAACGGGTGAACACTGCTATGTAGGACGTGCCTGCCAGTAGGCCCTGCCCTCTGTGCTGCTCCTCCACCTGGCCCACGGTTGGCGGAAGCCATGGTGGCACAGACTTTTAGTACTTCGAAGCAGCAAGGTCACTGACTGCTGCCCTCTCCTGGCAAGCGGTGGTTGCGGCCTCCAGGCTCCCAGAGAGTGGGCCCCCAGCCTCAGTTGTCCAGGCCTTGGTTGCTATAAGGCGTGGCCAGCTCGTCGGCATCGCTGTCTGAGCTACCTTCACTGTCTTTGGCTGGCCTTTCCAGACGTCGGAAGAAGCGTGCGTCCCGGGGTGACAGAGGGTAGAGTGGGTCCTGCAGGGCTGCGCCCACGCCCACGCCCACACCCACGCCCAGCAGCTCTTCGTCAGAAGATGGTAGAGAGTCCTCGTCCAGGTGCCGTGTCAGGCTAAGCCCATCGAAAGCCAGTGGGTCCTCGAAGGTTGGTGGGCCTTTCAGCAGCCGCACCTGGGGTGCGCGGGGAGGGGGAGGGGGCACCCGCGCATTGGAGATGTAGACTGATGTACCCACACAAAAGCCCGGCCATCAGGCGCCCTCCTCCCTTGCCCTCCTAGCTTCATGCTTCATCCGGGTCCCTGAACCAGAGTCTGGCCTGTCGCCAACATCCCATGCTCTCACCTCGGCCTTCAGTTCCTCGATCTGGTCCTTCAGCTCACGGATGTACTGTGAGGAATCCGAGTGGTTCAGCTGGCCCTGGATGCGGCCCTCCTCCCGCTGCCGGTAAGACCGGAGTACTGGCGGTCGGTCAGAGAGCATGGCCAGCCCAGGGGGACCACCCTCTTTCCAGCTCCTTCGGCTCACCTGGATCTCCAGCTCTGCGATGCGCTGCCTCATCTCCGCCACTGCGGCCATGCTATCGGCCTCCCGAAGGCGCACCGCCATCACTTCCTCCTTGCTCTGAAATGGGGGTGGGGGCATACAGCGGTTGGGTTAAGGAGGTGGCAAGGTCGCAGGTGGGGTCGTGGGGTCCGGCAGGGGCTGCACCTTGCACTCAGCCTCCGCCTGCTTGCGGCGGCTTTCGCTGAGCTGAGTCTGGAGTCCCTTGTTCTGCGCCGCTAGGTACTGCAGCTTCTCCTGCAGGGCCGCACGTTCCGCTTCCACACGGTTCAACAGGTTGCGGTGGATGTTGTCCTGGAAAGGACCCGAGGGCACAGCAGCAGGAGGGGGTGGTCACAATTTGCTCAATGGGTCCGCTGTGGGGCTTCCTGTCCCCGCGCAGGCATGGCCTACCTGCGTTTCCAATTCCACCACGCGCTGCCGCCATTCGCGGCCATCGGCCAGGGCCTGTGCCTCGCGTAAACGCACGGTCATGAGCTCGTCCTGTAGCTCGCCCAGGACCAGCTTCCGGGGCGACTCCTTCCAGCGGCCACCGCGGGAAAGATGGGCCTAGAAGGAAGGGCGAAGGGGTTCTAGAGACCAGTCTTGTTTTCCGATGAGCCCACCAGCTGCTCCAGGCACTCCCTGCAAGGGACGCCCTCACCACCCGGCCTCACCTGCCAGGTGTCCGAGAGTTCCTGCAGCTGCGATTTCAACTCCCGCGCGGAGGCTACAGCCTCGCCCTCCCGCACCTTGAGCGCCTTAAGCTCCTCTTGGAGCCTGGCTACATTGTTCTCATCTGGCAGTGAGCTGTTTCTCTGCAGGGAGACAGGAAATGAGGAACCAGGAAAGCCACTGTAACTCCATGCCTAAGCCACAGAAGTCATGCCTCTGACCTTTCCTGGGATCTTTTTCTGCCTGAGGCAGCTGATGAAGGGACGATGGCACCCTCGTCTACAGCACACCCAAGGGAGCAGGGACTAAGCCCAGGGGAAGAGGACCCTCATGTGTAACCATAGCCAAGGTTCATTATCTGCAAAATGGGTGCAAAAACAGCATCTACTCTCTCTCAAGTCTGTCCTTGGGAAACCCCCTTAAACTGTGGTCTCCTGTAAACATTACTGTTTATTACATAACGCACTCTGGGGCAGCTAGGGTAGTGCAGGTCTGCTCTTAGCTCCGATATTCAACCTTTTCAGGACCCACCACCAGTCCTGAGAACTACATCAGTAAGGGCTCTCTCAGACCTGGCCTTGTGGAATATTATTTTAAGGTGTGTTACATTCGTTTATGCTGGGGGACATTTGTGTGTGTAATGATGCAAAGATGTGTTGGGTTCTTTTCTGTTGCATTTGTTTAACTCTGTGAAGCTGTGTTACTTTACCTACATAAAACACCTGATTGATCTAATAATGAGCTGAACAGCCAATAGCAAGGCAGGAGAAATGATAGGAGGGACTGGCAGGCAGAGAATAAACAGGAGAAAAGGAGGGATCAGGAAGCAAGGGAGATGAAGGAAGCAAGAAAAGAGGCCAGTCATAGAGCCAGACACCGAACAAGAAGGAAAGAAAAGATACACAGAAACAGGAAGGTAAAAGTCCAGAGGCAAGTTAAGAAAAGCTGGCTAGAAATGAGTCAAGGTAAGGCCAGGCATTTATAAGTAAGAAAAGACTGTGTGGTTTATTTGGGAGCTGGGTGGAAGGCCTCCCAAAAGAGCCAAAGAGGAAGGAGAAAACAAAACAAAACAAAACAAAAACCAACTAACAACATGGCCTGGAGCATTTCCAAAAGCAGACAGGCCTGGGACCAGCCTCTATTCTGTCCTTGTGTGGACAGGGCCCAATGGTTGGGAGTGTGGTGGTGCCCATGACATAACTTGGTAGGCCTGGTCCTTACTGACCCTTGTTTAGGTCTGCGTGTGGGCCACAAGACAGGGTCTAGGCTGGGCACATTTCCCTCCTGTGTGGAGGAGGTGTGTTGATAGGGCTGAGGCTTCTGGCCTTACATAGCAATAGCTGATGTTGAGAGAGGGGTTTTTCTCAACATCAAGGACTTTGTGGCAGCTCCCAGGAGAGTTTTGTTGTAGTTTTTATTTTGTTTGTTTGTTTGCTTGTTTAGACATAATCTCAGGTAACTCAGGGTGAAATCAGACTTGCTATGTAGCCAAGGATCATCTGGAATGGCTGATAATCTTCTTCCATCTCCTCAGAGCTGGGGTAACAGGTGTGCACTAGGGATGGAGTCTGGGGCTTCATGTACACTCATCCTAGCCTGAGTTGCATCAGCTCACAAAGCAGCTGGGGAGGCCCTCAGGTCTGCTTGCCTATTTCCAGGGCTGCAGGCAGGAAAGTGTGGCCCTTAGTTTGCCTCTGGAGAGTATCTTCATGGGAGAGAAGATGCCAGTTAATGGGCGTGGGCCTTCCCCTATCAGCCGTTCCTTCCCTGTATCCTGGAACCTTAGCCCCAACGCACAGTGAAGTGGTGGGACACCCAGGCAGCTTAAGAAACCTGCCACACATTGTGATTTGACAGTGAGACTTAGGGCTGTGCTGCGCTGCTGTGTATATGAGCATGGGAAGCTCTGGGATGAGGGTTCCAAATTCTGTACCCTTAGATCCCTGCTTGGAGACTGGAGTGGTGTAGGGGACAATGCCTAGGGGGCAGTGGGCTCTAAAGCAGCATGGAGAGGTCTCCTCTTCCATGGGTGTAGGAGTGAACCCCACAAAGCTATCCGCCCATGAGGGCGGGGACATGTAAACTGACACAGGTAGATATAAAAGGAAGTGAAAGGAAAAGGAACCCCCCTTTTCTCTTGGAAGCCAGCCGCGTGAATCTCTGTTTGTCACTAGCAAAACAGAGCCCACCTGAGAAAATGCTGCTACCAAAAAACTGTGCTTCTCTCCGTTCTTCTGTTTCTAAAATTCCTTTAAAACTTTTGTCATTCTGCGTGGAAATTCATCATCCAACTCCTGATCACCATTAACTGACTGAGGGCAGTTGCCCTGGCTGCCTCTTCTTGTTGGCACTCTCTGTCTCTGTCTCAGTGTGTGTGTGATATGCACATGTGTGTATGTTTCAAGAGGTCAGAGGATATCAGGTCCTGTCCCATCACTTTGTCTTATTCCCTTTGGATAGGGTCTCTCACTGAACCTGGAACCAGTCTAAAGACCACCTAGCCAGAGATCCTCCCATCTCTCTGACACAGTGCTGGGATTATTGGTATATGTGGCCATGCCTGGCTTTTGAAGCTTCTAAAATTCACTTGAGACCTTTGTCTCTTTCCCCAGCCATACCTTTTCCATGTCCAGAACCTTGTCCTGCATTTCTCGAAGGGCCCCCAGAGTCTCTGTTTCTCGTAACCGTGACTGCTCCAGCTCTGTCTCCAAGTGGGACACAAAGTCCTCTGTGAGGCGTGGGTTTTCCTGCAGGCAAAGAACAGCATTGGTCCCTGGTGGAGGTTACCGTATGGTGGACAGCTTCCATGCTAGTGGGCAAGAGGGCCTGGGCTGGAAGAGGGTCTCAGTTTTTAGGCACCCTGGCTTGAACCCATGTTGTTTATGGCACTTGGAGGCAATGGAACTGGCTTGGCTATTTTCCAGGAAAAGCTGCACAGAAGGAATGCTGGGAATGGGACTTTCCATGACTTTGGGATGCCTTTTGAGAGCCTCTGAGACTCAGTTCCAGGACCACGGGTGTGGGTAGGGCATGTGTTCCTGTAATATGGCCAGTTGTGGAATCCTATATATGGGCATGGTAAGGGACCAGGGGCAGGGTTGGGACCTTTCTACCCGTCTTCCCCTAGGCCCCACTTCAAAGCAGGGAAGGACAGGAGGGAAGAAGTTCCCTTTGAGCTTCTGGGTGGAAAGCAAGACCCTCTCTTTCTGTTCTGGCGATGCGGCAGGGAATTCCTCTAGGAGACCACATCAATATGGCCCTGGCAGGCGCCCCCTTCTCTAGCCACAGCCCCTATTCCCTGACCTCTGTCCTGTTAGGAACTCTGATTCTTTGTGCCAGCATCTCTTCCTGGTCAAGACAGGCTCCAGGCCTCCTGAGGTGACCCTCTTCTGGGAGATCTCCTCCTTTTAGTGCTCCTCTTGAGCCTGAGGACAACAGCTCTGGGCCTGACCGTCCTTTTCCTAGTCCCATAGCTCTTTTCTCAGAGGTGGGAAATGGAAATCTTAGGCTGTCCTGTGGGGTCTAGGTGGTTAGCTGTGAGGGGAAGCAAACCCACACTAGCCTCTGGATACCCCTATCCATATTACAGATCTAATCCCCCAGGGCCAGAAGATAGGGTGATACATAGACTTATGGGAGGTATGGTCCTGCCCCCCCTCCCGCCCCCCGCCTGGTACCTGCTGTTCCTGCAGCTGCCGAATGGTGCTCTGTGCCTTCTGAAGGTCCTCTGCTGTCGAGCTACACTGTTGTCTCACCACTGCCAGCTCCCGTTTGATGACATAGTTCTCCTCAGCCTCCTGTGCCCGTGTCACCTGCCCCTGAGCACAGCGAGGATGGGGGTGGAAAGGGTGCCGTGACTATCTGCTTTGGTCCCAGGCCTGGCCTCTGGGAGGCTCAGAGAGGATGAGAAGAGGGGTAGAGTGAGACACGCATTGCCTTTGGTGCTCAGAGCCTGGAATGGGGTGTCCCACAGCAGGCCTCAGGATGTAGGGGGTGGAGACAGGCAAGGACAGGCTACCTGAAGGATCCTGGGAGTACTGGACATTGTGGAGGTACTGCCAGGCTTAAGTGACAAATACCCCCAATGCCCAAGCTTGAGCTCCTTCCCCACTCTGGCTGTTTGCCAGGTGGAATACACCTCTCCCTGGGGCCACTTCCTCCACCCACATCTCTCCCACCCAACTTGATACTCCCTGTCCCCCATTCCAGGCTCGGAGCCCCTGGGTGCTGTGCAGAAGCTTCTAGAAAAGCCATCCAAGGATGAAGCGGCAGCAGCAGCAGAAGCAGGCGAGGGAGAGATGGTGGTGGCATGGCAGCAGAAGCAGAGAGGAGTCAAAGGGTTGTGTGTGTGCCTGCAGTCGTGCATGCATGCCTGTGGGTGAGCACGCTCATGGAAGCTCAGCAGGACGCATGTCAAGGCCTACAACCAAATGCTTTCAGAGTCCAGAGCCCTATTGGGGTGGCATGTTGCCCCTTGGTGGAGGAAGCCTGCTGTCTAGGCTGAGTGTAAGTTTTCTCCTAAACTCACTCCCACAAATGCCTCCCATCCTGGTGTTTGTCTCCAGCTCACATGCCCCTCCCTCAAAGCATCCCTTTCCCTGAAAGCTGCTCCCTCCATGCAAGTTGCCAGGCCTGCCCCCTTGCCCCCAGAATGGCAGTGGCCAGGAAAGAGGTGGTTACTGGCTGTCTTGTGCAGGGACCCAGGAAGGGTCTGGGATGGAGAGTGCAGAGGTATATGGAAAGGCTACAGTACCTGGATTAACCTATCAGCCAAGGCCGCGCTCTCCTACCAGGCGAAGGGGGTTCCCAGCAACAGGGGAAGGAGGCAGAGCAGAAGGCAGGGGACAGGAGAGGGGGAGAGACAGACAAGAACCACTTGTCACTAACGCAGTGGGCTACCTCTAGAAGCAGGGGAGAGAGGAGTGAAGACCAGAGAACCAGCGGAAGAGGACCCGGAGAAAGACCAAAGCCAGAGCCAGCTCCGTCCTGGAGGGGGGTTCATATGAGTGGGGAGGTCAGGGTGCACTGGGCTGAGAAAACTCAGCGACAGGAATGTTACTTCACTGTGTGAGGAGGAGGTCCCGGGGAGGGCTGGGACAGGGGATGCATTTTAATCTTGAGAGAAAACAAGAATTGAGGCTTTTGGTGTGGTAATAACATCCTCTCCATGGTCAGCAAATAGTCAAAGGAGGAGCACAAAGGAGCAGGAAGTGGGGCCCAGAGTCAAGCTAAATCACCCAAACCACCCCCATCCTTAACCTAGTAGGGTTCAAGGCCAAGTCCCACCTCAAGTGGTGAGCCCCCTGCCCCGCCCTTCCATTCTGCCTCCCTCCCTCTCTAGGGTGAGACTGACAATTACAGGTTAGATTTCCTTGTGGCCCAGAGACAGAGCCCATCCTCCCAGCCATGTGGTTTCTGATTGCCATCCACTGGGTTGTAATTCAGCCGCAACCCTAGGGGCTAAGCTGAGATCCAGAGTGGGACGAAGTCTTCTGAGAACCCCTAATAACAGGGCAGCCCAAATCTCAGTGGGTCTGGGGGCGTTTGTTGAGACAGGGTCTCATGCAGCTGAGCCAACGGGCCTTGAACTCTTGCTTTTCCTGCCACCTCCTCCTGTGTGCTGAGATCACAGGAGAAAGGCCTGGCTCCTCTGAAGGGGCAGACAGGACTGTCTCAGTCTGACTGTCTCCTCCCCATTCCCTTCCTCCGCTCCCTTCCCTCTCCCCAGAAAACTCCCCATTAAAAAAAAAAAGAGTGAGGCCTGCCCTACTAAGGGTTAAGTCAGCTGGTTCAGAAGGGAGCAATGGCCCAGCCTTAATGGCTGCTGGGTGTTCTGAGGCCTGGAGATTTGGAACCCAGCGGCTGGTACCCACACTCCTCACCTTTTCTAGGGTCTCAATCCGTTGTTTGAGCAGTCGGTTCTCTGTTCGAAGCCTCTGCAGAGGAAGAAGAAGAGCACTTCAGAGTATGCCTGAACACTTACAGATACTTAATCCTCCTTCACCAACCACAGAGGTCAAGGAAGGTCCCTTAGAGACCTTATGTTCTGGGTGGGAAATTTCAGAAGATGAGGCATATCCCTGTTTGATGGCTTGTTGGATAAAGGCGCTTGCTGCCAAGCTTGATGACCTGAGTTAGATCCCCAGGACCCATATGGTGGAAGAGAAATGACTCCCACAAGTTGTCCTCTGAACTTTCATATACATGTTATTTCACATACATCTGCATACACCCACAAAATAACATTTAAAACTGTTTTGGTGCCAGGAGTGTAGCTCAGCTGATAGAGTGCTTTTGTTACACACATCAAAGTCCTTGATTCACAAAACCCTGGCTTGGTGGCACATGCTATAATCCCAGCACTTGGGAAGCAGAGACAGAAGAATCATAAATTCAGGCTTATCCTTGGCTACGTAGTAAATTGGAGGCCAGCCTGGTGTACATGAGCTATTAAAATCATGATGATGATTTTTTTTTTGAGACAGGGTTTCTTTGTGTATTCCTGGCTATCCTGTAACTAGCTCTGTAGACCAGCCTGGCCACAAACTTACAGAGATCTGCCTGCTTCTGCCTCCTGAGTTCAAAATGATTTTTTTAAAAATCCAAACCTTCAGTAGAAACAGCCCAGGGAATTTTCATGGCGTGCCCCCCCAACAGTCAGCATCTCCACTATCCTCACAAGTCTGCTTTTGCCTTAGCCTTTCAAGGGCAGAGGCCCTGTTTCGGGGGAGAAGCTGATGCCAGGCAGTCCTGACCACTGTTTGCTTTGGTCCCAGCAGCCCCTGAGTTAGACTCTGGAACAACTCTCCTCTCAGAACTGGGCCCTGTGTTGAACATGTAGGTGGTCTTTGCTTTAATCTAAGGCAAGATTTCATATGTCCCAGGCTGGTTTAGAACTTGCTGTGCAGTCAAGGTTGCCTTGGACTCCTTGATGCTGTTGCTTCCACCTCCTGAGAACTGGGATGGTAGATATATACCATGATGCTGGGTATGTGGTGTGAATAAAAGACAGGGCACGTTGGAGATATTGCCTTGGTTATTTTTTTTAACATTTATTTTTTTATTATGTATACAGCATATGTCTGCATACCTACAGGCCAGAATTGGGCACCAAATCTCATTACAGATGGTTGTGAGCCACCATGTGGTTGCTGGGAATTGAACTTAGGACCTCTGGAAGAGCAGGCAGTGCTCTTATCCTCTGAGCCATCTCTCCAGCCCCAACATTGCCTTGGTTATTACACTCCTGCCCCCTACAGTCTTGTTATATAGTGTAGTCAGCTTTGAACCCTAATCCTTCTATCCCCTGAGTATGGGATTATAGAGATGCATCACATCATGCTTGGCTCTGTCTTCTGTTCCATGATGAGGAAATTAGGGTATCTGTGGTTTTAGGGTCTCTCATGACCCTGTAGGAAATTGATGTAGATGTGCTGTAGCTAGCCTCCTCAGCCTCTTGATTATGAAGAAATCATTTGCATTAGGAGATGAGTGAGAGTCCTGTCTGGCTGTAAGGGTTTTAGTTGTCAACTTGACATTGGGTTGGCCTGTGGACACATTTGTAGATTTCCTTGACTGCCTTAATTGATATGGGAGGAGCCAGCCCACTGTAGGAGGTACCATTCCCCAGGTAGGGAACCCTGAACTGCATGAGTGGAGAAACAGAACTGACCACAAGCAAGCACGTATTCCAACATGCAAGCATTTCTTTGTTCCTGACTGGACGCCATGTGACCAACTGTCTCAAATGCCTTCTGCTGTGACTACTCTGGTTGTAACGAACTGTAACGTGGAATTGTTAACTAAAAATTTCTTGTCTTAAATGTGCATGGAGTGACTCCAGAGGCCAGAAGAGGGCATCAGATCTCTTGAGATAGAGATAAAGACAGTTGTGAACACAGGTCCTCTTAACTGCCTGGCCATTTCTCCAGATGGCCTCAGTTTGTCAGAGTATTTTGTCATAGCGGCAGACATGAAACTGGAATACTTGCTATGGGTTGGTTACACAGATATCTCCTGGGTTGCTTCTGGGGGGAGACATGGTGATAGAAACACCCAGAAAGCAACTGGAGCAAATCACGGATCTGACAGTCACCCCTCACATCATGTGTAAGGAGCTAAGTCAAGAGAAGCAGAGCTCAGCTGAACTTCCCAACACAGCTGGGTCAGAACTGTTTAAGACCAAGGAGGATTAGGTCCCTGACCCTGACCTGTAACTCCTGGATTGCTCTGTCCAATCTGAACTCAGTGGGTCACTGCACCTAGCACCACCACCCACAGAGAAGCTTGGACACGCAGGCCCAGCTGAGTCCTCTCTTTCCTGATTATCCAAAAGGGAAAAAAGGGAGGCAGAATGAACGAGGGGTACACAGGGCTGTATACTGGTCACAGTTTACAAAAAATTGGGAGTGTGGGCGTGGGTATGTAGCTTAGTTGGTAGAATGCTTGCCTGGCATGCTTCAAGCCCTGGTTTCAACTCGAAAGACCCTACAAACTGGGTGTATTTGCACATGCCTCTGATCTCAGTATTCTTGAAGTGGAGGCAAGAGGAAGGAGTTCAAGGTCATCCTTAGCTACAAAGCAGGTTTAGGTCATACACTTGCTCTATGTGAGATACTATATTAAAACATTTTGTTTTCCAGTTGAGGATGGTGGCACACATCTGTAATTATAGTACTGAGGCAGGAGGTTTTCAGGTTTGAGGACAGCTTGCACTACATACATAAAGGCCTTGCCACAACAAACTCATTGCTCCTCACATTTTTGTCTAAGGTTAAAAATGAGAAGCAAACAATAAAAAAATAAGTAAATGAGGCTGAGCATAGTGGTACATGCTTGTTATCCCAGCACTGAGGAGTCAAGTTCAAGACCAGCCAGGACTGCCTAGGAAGACTCCATCTAAAACAAAACAAAACACCCCAACATCCTCAAATAAAGCTTTGTATTTAGGTATTTGCACTTATGTTCATTTTATATGTGCACAAGCACAGATTGCCATGATCCACCTGTGTAGAACATGCAGAAGTCAGTTCTCCCCTTCCACCGTGTGTGTCCCGGGGATCAAACTTAGGTCATCAGGCTTGGTGGCAGTGCCTTCACCCACTGAACCAACAGATTCTGAAAGTGTCTGTGTTTTAAGATGCTTCAGCATCTGAAGCCTTGCTAGCTTCGGAGAGAGAATCCTTCCCAGAACTAGCCAACTGCTGTAGGGCAGGTACATTGTCATTTTTTTCTAACACAAAACCAACATGTCCAGAACCCAAGTCCCACCAGTCTGATGCTTACTAAATGGATACCACCCTTATTCTAATGGCCCAGTACTGCTCAGCTCCTTGAAGCTGAGACAATCACTCACATTGCCTACCCTGCCTGGTCCTGAGCCTGCTCACACACATCTGTCCTGCTCTTATTCTTCCTTCCTGTAGAAAGCATGCTGGAGATTCTGCTCCATGCCTCCTCTATGTTCTTTGACATGTTCTGTTTTTTTCCTCTTGAAACAGTAACCAACTGTGTGTGTGTGTGCGCGTGCGTGCGTGCACAGGGATGTGTGTATAAGCTCATGCTCTAGTGCACACAGCATTTAAACTATTGTATTTTGAGAAAAAGTCTCACTTTAAGAGCTGGCTGGCCTGGAACTCACAGAAATTGGCCTGCCTCTACCTCCTAAGTGCTGGGGTTAAAGGTGTGTGCCACCATGCCTGGTGTTCTTTTGTTAAGACTGGGTTTCCTTTAGCTCAGGTTGGCACCTAATTTGCTATATAGCTGAGGAAGACTGTGTACTCTTGATCCTCTGAAGTCCACTTCATCAGTCCTAGGATGACAAGAATGTGCCACTATGCCTGGGTTTGTTGGTTTATTTTGAGACAGGGTCTCACTATGTAGCCATGGCTGGACTGGAACTTGTTAGGTAGACAAGATTGGCCTTGAACCTATAAATATCTGTCTGCCTCTACCCCCTGACAGCTAGAATTAAAAGAATGTGCCGCCATACCTGTTCCACTTTAGTTTTAGAAACAGTTTCTCACTGAAGCTGAAGCTCATGGTCTGAGCTAGGCTGGCTGACTAATGAGTTCCACAGATTTGCCTGTTACCTACCCTGACCCCAAGTTACAAAGGCACACCAGCCTTGCCTGGCTTTTACTGTTGAGTTCTGAGACATCTGAACTCAGGTCTTCATGCTTGAGAGACAGGCACTTAACAAGGCATCTCCATAGCCAGACCTTTCCTCTTTTACTTGGAATGTGCCAATTTGGCTAAGCTGCTTGCCAGCTAAACTCAGCATCTGTCTGTCTGTCTCTGCATCTCCAGGGCTGGGATTAAAAGGAGACTACTACCCCTGGTCACTTTATGTGGGTTCTGGGGATCGAACTCAGGTCCTCATGCTTGCACAGGGAGCACTTTACCCTTTGCCCTCTTTTGTTCTTTCCCTTTTGTTCTGTGCTGAGGACAGAGCCCAAGGCCTTGTGCACGCTGGGCATATGCTCACCACTAAGCTACAGCCTCAGCCCCAACACACTCTTCTTTCCAACATAGTTGTCCGTGCACTTGCCATCTTGCCTTCCCCGATTCAGACAAATAAGGGTTTTGTTTTGTGACAGGGTTTCCTTGTGTAGTCCTGGATGTCCTGCAACTCACTCTATAGACCAGGCTGACCTTGAACTCAGAAATTTTCCTGCCTCTGTCTCCAGAGTGCTGGAATTAAAGTTGTGTCACCACTGCCCAGCATCAAATCAGGATGTTTTAAAACAGGCCAAAGGTGAAAGACCTAACTGCAGGACACCTGTGCCCTATGTGGCAGCATCCACCTGACTCTTCAAGGCCTCTGGGGAACTCTCGGGAAAATTTCATTCTGGCCTGTGGCTCCAAGGGTCTGTGGCATATCTACCTATTGCTGGGTCCTCATGGTCACCAGATAAGAACAGACCCCTTGTCTGCACACAGCAAGAATCACATTTTGGTCTGGTGCAACACTTAAGCTGCCTTCCTTGTGAGATGACTCACAAGCCTAGGATAGAAAGCTTTCTGGAACCCTTAAGCAGGGACAGGTGTGTCAGCTTGCAGGCACAGGTATCAGGTGATTTGGATCATCTAGGCTCTGCCCCTGACTTTCTATAGGAGGTGAAAATGATGACCACAAGATTAAAAGTAATAGGAATAGCACAGCAAAAACCCCATTTTGCTGATGGGGCCGCCAATGCTTAAGTGAATTCACCTGCTAGGGACACCAGTGCTAACCACTTTGACTCATCAACTGGAGAGGACAGAACCAGGTCTGTGTGTGAGTTTGTGTGCCTGTCTGTCCTCTGTACTGGGTGGCAGGGCCCTCATTCTTGGCCAGTGGGCTTTGAAGACATGCAGCTAGTTGGTGGGTAGGAGTAGGTGGGGCCTCCCAAGGGTTAGCTGGGTATGAGCCTTCCACTTTCATCTTCTAAATCCTGGCCCTGGACTGTATTTGGCAGGGCCTGGGGCTCCTTGGGGAGGTGTGGGAGGACTCCCGGAGTTCAAGAGTGCTTTCATCTGGGAAGCCAGGTTCTTATCACTCTTTTGTCTCAATCAGTGTTTTTTGGGTGAACAGCTAGAATCACATGAAGAGGGGTGAAGCAGAAGCCATCAAGAGGTGAGTCTGGACTCAAGAGGTTTTGTGTACTCAAGGGCCTGATTCTGATGGGCTGGCAGATCAGCTACCAGTGCAACCAGGACCCTCAGTGGGTGCTCTTACTCTAGTCCACATATCCTGCTTGCCTGAGCCTTTCTCCTCTTAGCCCCCAACCTTGAAGGCTCCCTGTCATCTCAGCCTTTTGGGTGTTCTCCTGCCCACCAGGTACATCCTGCTACCCTAGGCCCTCTGCGCTGAATTCCTGGACTTGGAGTGTCTTCCCAGGCGCGTCTGGCTCTCTCTTGTATGATTATAACCAGTGCACTCTGGAGTTCACACTATTTCACTGATTTATTGACGCTCGCCCATGACAGGGGCTTCGGGCACATGAAGACAAGGAACTTTGACTGTCTTGTTTACTGTTGTGTGGCCAGCTCTGAGGATATGCCAGTTGGGACAGGTGCTCCCACGCCGCAGCGCTGGCAGGTAAAGGAAGGGTCATCAGAAGCCTCAGGCAGTCGGCCCAGGCCAGCCCGGTCCACCCATGCGCTGGATAGGACTGCCCTCTAGAGGCCAGCTCTGGAGTTGCGAGGAAAAGCCTCCAGGGCGCCCATCTTTGCTCCTCCCCCATGCCCCGGGAACTCACTTTGATCTCGATTTGCTCTTCCATCTCCTTACTCTTCATAGCTGCGTACTCCTTCTCCAGCCTGTGGGGACAGGGCATGCGGTCACCGTCCCCGCCTCCCCAGGATTGGGGAGGGCTTCCCTCTTGGGGTCTCCATTGCCAGGCACTGACCTCTTCATCTTTTTAGGGTTGTACTTGACCTGGTAAGCCTTGAGGACCAGCTTGTCCGGGCAGCTGTCAAACTGGTGGGGGATCACTCTCTGGAAGTACTGTGGGGATACAGGGAGTCACTGTCACAAGGGTCCTGACCATCAGGGTCTGCCTGAGCTGTCACTGTATTCTGCTGCTGCCTGCGGCTTCTCCTGTCTCATCCATGCCCTAGGCTGCTGACTTTGGCTACTCAGCCAGCATCTGTAGTGCAAATGAGTGACTGTATGAGAAGGAGCAGCTGGGGAAGACTGGAAGGCCTGCCTTCCCAGGATGCCTTTGGGGGAAACTGGAGAAAAATCAGGCCTGGGGTGGGGGGGTGGGGATCAGCTTGGCTAGTTGTCCCCAGGGCGAACAGTGGAAGGGAAGAGAGTTTGAGCCCCAGACCCCAGAGTGGAAGGAGAGAAGTGAATTGTGAGTGCTGTGATCTGACCATCGGCCATGAGCCCTCCTCCATTGGCTTCCTCCCCCTAATCCCCACACTAGCAACAATACTAAGTAAAATGATGGTAAAACAATCTGGCTAGAAGACCTTCTGAAGGCAGGGCTGGGATGAATTATGGTATCTGAGCATGGGGGAACCTTCCTCAGGAAGGGGGCAGGCAAGCCCAGTGGACAACAGGTCCTGTTCCTCCGCCCAGATGGCCCCCTCAGGCAGTCTTGGACAATGGATGCCCGTGTTCATAGACACAACCGTGGCTTTTGTGCATTCTTTCCTGAAGCACCAGCTGGAAGACGCTGGGAGGGGGCAGGGGCCTGTGTGACAGGGAAACCACGGTGAGGGGAAGCTGGCTTCTGCTCTAGCAGACTGTGCCAGGAGCAGGCCCAGGCAAGGAGGGGCAGGGCAGGAGGCCATCCCTCCCATACTCCCCAGGCTGAGAGATGGGATAAAACCATTTGAAAGTCTCCCAGTTCAGCCAGGGTCACTTCACAGGCAGGCTCTGGTGACTGGCAACAAGGGGGGGAGTGAATAGCACCTCCCCAAATCATTGAGTGCAGGCCTCCCTTTCTTCCCAGTGCTAGGTTGTTTGCTGGCTCTGGGCTATTTCTGACAGTCTGGGGTTCCTCAGGAAAGCCTCAGGGGAAAGCAGAAAGAATCCCAGATGCTCAGGAATGACTTCCATTGGGAAGTCAAGTCCTCATAACTTAGAATCTTGTACAGCTCAGGTTAGCCTTGAACTTCTGGTCCACCTGCCTCCACCTCCTCAGTGTTGGAATGGAAGCCATGTTTATGTGGGGCTAGAGATGGAACCCAGGGCTACATGCATGCTAGGCCAGCACTCTATGAATTCCCTTCTTGTCATAGGGGAAGGTTTCCTGTGCTGGTCACCTTCAGTAGAGACAGCCTCACCTGCCCAGCCGTCCTGACTCACCTGGGACATGCCCTCCATGTCCAGTTGCATCAGCTCTGTCTGGTTCACTTGCAGCAGGGCGAGGCCAACTCGGAACACGATCTCCAGTCCCTGCAAAAGCAACCCACAGCCCCATGAGCCTTCCATCCTCTCACCCGAAGGCCCCAGTCCTCCCATCAGTGAGACCCCGTCCCCTCACCAGTGAGCTTCCTGTCCTCCCAGGAGGACATCCTAGCCCGCCCTTTGTCCAGTTGGTTGGTCATGATTCTTTCTTGGGGTGGGATGTCACTCCTTCCACATGCAGAGTGGAGTGGGCAGGGATGCCCTAGGGGGCACTCACCTCATACATAAAGATGTCAAAGACCCGGGTGGCAACAGGCAGGGGGAAGGTGGTGAGGAAAAGTGTGAGGAACCAGGACGACGCATACATAGATGTGTGGAAGCTCTGGGATCGGAAGTGGGTGTTCAGGTCCGGAAGCTGCTCCTGTGTGGGGATGGGGAGGCTGGTGGGCATGGAGAGGGAGGTATTGAGCCTCAGTGCCTCTCACCTCCAGGGAGCATTTGCTGACCCACCCTGGGCATCCTGGGTCTCCCGTAGGTCCCCTTTAGGCTACCGTGTTTGGGGGAAGCTGAGGCATACTGGAACTTTGAGTGACATGGGAACACAAGCAGACCATTGGGGAAACCGAGGCTGGAGAAGGTGTCAGAGCTCTGGGCTTCCTCCTTGAGTTAGTGATTATCTGTGCTATAGACTGCACATCTGCTTGACTGTGTAAATCTTAGGCTGTGCAGGTCTTAGGTCTTCCAGCCTGGGGTAATCACTTCTTAACTTTGAGGGGGGAAGATGCTGGGAATCAAATTATTTTCTATTTGTGGGTGTGTGGAGGAAGTGTGTATCTGTTCATATGTGTGTGCATGTGTAAGGGTGTGTGTTCCTGTGTGTGTGTAGGTCAGAGGTTGATAACTGCTACCTTTTTTGACACAGCGTCTCACTATAGGGCCCTGAATGTCCTGGAACTTGCTATGTAGATCAGGCTGGCTAATGAATCACAGGGGCCTGGCTGCCTCTGCTTCCCAAGTACTGGGATTAAGGGCGTGTATTACCATGTCCAGCTGTCTCTACCTATTTTCTGGCCTTTTGTCCCAGCACTGGGGAGGCAGAGGAAGGTGGATCTCTGAGTTCAAAGCTAGCCTGGGGGCTGGAGAGATGGCTCAGAGGTTAAGAACACTGACTGCTCTTCCAGAGGTCCTGAGTTCAGTTCCCAGCAACCACATAGTGGCTCACAACCATCTACAATTCAGTCTGGTGCCCTCTTCCGGCATGTACGCAGAACACTGTATATGTAGTAAATAAATAAATCTTTAAAAAAAAAGCTAGCCTGGTCTAAGAAGTAAGTTCAGAACAGTCTACAGAGAAATTTTGTCTCAAAAATGGGGGAAAAAAAAGGAAAAAAAGGATTCACACACTACCATGCCTAGCCACAAAGTTTCTTTTTTGGGGGGGCGGTTAGGGAAGGATATTGGGGATCAAACGTAGGGCCTCGCAAATGCTAGGCAAGCATGCTATCCCAGCCCTCTCATTCATTTTTGTAGGGCCTGTTTGTGCAACTATCGGTTCCTATGGAGTTCTCCTACCCGGTCCTCGGACCCTGAGAGAGGGTCCTTCACTGATAACTCACTGAGGGCACAGTTCTCTTGCCATGGGCTTCTGGAACTGGCCAGTGTGTATGAGAATGTAAGGATGGTATGTGCATGCATGTGTGTGCAGCATAAACACTTCAGTTCTGTTTGCCAGCCAGGAGTGAGCCCTGTGGGGATTGCTATTTATAAATGAGATACATGTCTGCAGCTTCCCCACAATCAGCAGAGACAGGCAGACAACACTTTTTCCTCCTTCCACCACACCCTTAGCACATGGGGCCAGCCCTTCTCCTCCCACGCTGCTTTAGTGGCTCTGGGAGCCTCTTTAGGAGTCAAGGGGCCCCTGTCCCGGCCATGTCCCTCCCAGCATGCTCCAGGGTTGTGTTCTTTCATCTCTGGGGAACAGGACAGGACAGGACAGGAGTCTCTTTCTGGGCCTGCCTCTCCATCCTCCCTCCCTTCTGTTCTTCCTTCTCTCTCTTTTCATTTCCCCTCACTTCTTCCTCTTCCTTCTCCACAGAACTAGGGACTGAACCCAGGACTCTCACACATGCCAAACAAGTTCTCTAGCACCGAGCCATGCGCCAACCTCCCAGCTCTTAGATTTTGAGACAGAACCTCATTAAGTAGCATAGGGCGACCTTGAACTGGTTATCCTCTTGTCTCGTAATCCAAGCACATGGATCATGGGTATGTGTCACCTTGCCAGGCTCCAGGCACATCACCTCTGCCACCCCCCACCCCCTTTTTCTTTCAGACAGAGTCTCGTGTAGCTCAGGCTGACTATGAGCTTCCTATGACTGACCTTGGATTTCTGATTCTCCTGCCTCAACCTCCAAAGTCCAGGGATGACAGATGTGGACTCTATGCCCAGTTTATGAAGTGCTGGGGATGGAACCCAGGGCTTTATGCATGTTAGGCAAGTATCCTACTAACCATGACACATTTCCACCTCCCAAGGGTGATTTCTCAGGCCTAGAATTTCCAGTTTGGGGAGCTTTCTGGAGATAGCTTCAGGGTGGCCATCCCTGGCCTGCTTACCTGTAACATGTACTCAAACTGGTAGATGCAGAGACCCAGTTCAGCCATACTGGGCTTGAAGAGCTCCCGCAGCCGGTACTCCTGCATCAGTCGCACGAATACACAGAAGGCCTCCTCCTCAGGCATCTGGAGGGACCAGCAGTGTGTGTGTGTGTGTTGAGTGACAGAAGGATGGGAAGGGCATGCTCGGACTCTGGACTGTTATGGTACAGGGACCAGTTTCTGTCCCATTTGTATTTTTTTGTAACTGTACCTGGCTACTGAAACCCATAAATGTGGTCAGTACTGTTTACTGATGGAAAACCTGTGGCTGGTGTTATTTGCTGAGGGTCACTGACAGGAAACAATGGAGCTGTACCTAACCCTTGCTAGTACCCCAGTCTCAGCTACATGGCTGGGACATCCCCATTCACTCCTGGTTGTCCCCTTCTCCCTGTCCTATGCCTTCTGATTTCTTTGGAGGAGTCCCCAAGTCCCCCATAAACTCTCAAATCCCCTTAAAAGCCCTGTCCCTGTCCTGGATAGTACAGTATCAGGACCCAGGTAGCACAAGTGCCTAGTCCCTCTGTATACATTTACTGGGGGCTTAGCCTGACCTTTGTCAGAGGTCACAGTGGGCTGGCTGCTGAGGAAGGCTCTGGCCCTAGGAGGCCACTGGATATAGGGAATGCTTTTGTGCCCCTCTCGGAGATGAACCCCAGGGTGGGCACTTACCTGCATGAGGAGTAAGCCCACAATGAAGGCACTGCCCTGGCAGTAGCCCACCTCCCGATCAACCAGGGAGTATGCCTGGAAGGGAAGGAGGATGGCTGAACACAGGGTTCTCATCAGCCCCCACAGAGTCATCTCAAGTGGGGATTGTTGCTAAGGTGGCTAGAGCCAATGCTTGGGCCTCACCTTCATGACGTTGAAGAGGACTTCCTGGCCCAGGCTGTCCTGGCCCTTGAAGAACTCATGCTCTGGGTAGGTGCGGGCAATGTCCCTGCGGATCAGCTTCTCGCATGGTGAGGACATCTTGAGTAGCTCTGAGTACTGGTTTTTGACAGGCATATCTGTGGCACTGCATAGGAGCTGCCACACGATGGCCCGGAAGTGATGTGGGATGCCCTTTCGGATCAGCTCCTGTTATGGGGAGGGATGAAATGGGGGTAGGGGAGACGCCAGGGTTGGACTTCGCCTCATGCACTGCAGCCTTCCCAAAGCCAACCCAATCCATGTGTTTAGGATGACACAGAGGACATCTAATCACTAGTCATGTGCTTACTGGGCTCCTCCTCCTAAAGTGACTCTTGTATTACTAAGCTACAAACCCAATTCTCATGCCTAGCTTCTGTGTGTGCACAATCATATGTTTGTGTGCTTGTGCACAGGTATATGTGAAGGTCAGAGGTCAGCCTCAGTTGTCATTCCCAGAGGTATCTGCCTTGGCTTTTGTTTTGTTGTTATAGTTTAAATTGCATCTATTATTTAGTGTGTGGGGGTGGGTGGGTAGTATGTACCACAGTACACATGTGGAGATCATAAAACAGCTTGCATCTGCATTTGAAGGAATTGATTCCTTCCGACCACATAGGACCTGAGGATAAAGCTCAGATTGTTAATCTTGACAGCAAGTGCCTTTGCCTGCTGAGCTGTCCACAGTGTATTTGAGACAGGACCTCTTATTAGGCCGAGGCTTGCCCATTGGGCTACGCTGACTAGCCAGGGAGCTCTAGGAATCTGCCGATCTCTGCCTCCCTAGAGCATGTGCCAGCATGCTCATCTTTTTACAGGTGCTGGGAATGGACTTGAGGTCTTCAGGCTTATACAGCAAGCACTTTAGAGACAGAGGTAGTTCCTCAGCCCTCACATTCTTTGTGTAGCTTTGTAGACTACGCTGACCTCTTGAGCTCACAGAGATCTGCCTTCAACTTGCAAGCCTCTTGCCTCAGTGTCCTGGGTGCAGGGGTCATAGGTATTCACCATCACACTAGAGCAGAAAGCAAGCAGACACAACCCTACCCCCTCTCTCCTGTCCCTGTGTCCCATCTGCACACCTCAACTTTGGCCCTTCTGCCTATGCTGGGCTACCTGGCCCTGCCTGGTGGATAAAGGACCAGGCTGGCCAGACTCACGCTCATCCCACATCTGCCTCAGGCCACCTTGAGTAGCTTCTCCTTTCTGCGTCGCCACTCTTCCCACTCGTTGGCAATGCGGCCCCAGAGGATCCACGTGTCCTCCTCCAGGTGGCTCAGGTTAGAGGAGGCCGAGGAGCTGGATACTAGTGAGGAGCCGCTATTCCTCCGGGAGCCATTCATGGAGCGCATGGACTTGGAGTCGGCTTCTAAGAGCCTGGGCAGGAAGGGTGGGAGAGAGGAGGCCAGAAAATTTCAGTGAGTCCCAGACACAGGGCCCTCTGGAGTGCCTTACCTCTTAGACTGGATCCACATTGCCTTCTATTCTTTAAAAATGTTTATTTCTATATGAGTATGTGATGTGTGTATAGGTGCCTGTGGAGGCCAAACTAGAGCATTGGACCTCCTGGAGCTACAGTGGTTGTGAGCCACCCAATGCAGGGATTGGGAACTGAATTTGGATCCTCTGAGAGAGCAGCAAGTGCCCTTGACTGCTGAGCCATGTCTCCAGCCCCTATGCTGCCTTTCTTGCTAAGTGACCTCGACCAGTGACCTAACCTGCCTAAGCCATGGCCCTCATCTACTGACCCTTGGAAAGTCATTTGTGTATTCCTCTTCTGTTCCAGGCATCATGCTGAGGGTGTTTCTGTCATCTCATTCTCAGACTAACTCTGCCCAGCAGATTTAGAGATGGTCTACACTTTATAGAGGGGCTCAGAATGCAAGTTCTGGCTGATGGCAATTATAGAGTACCAAGGACACTGTGGGGTTGTGTTAACCATGTCCTTTTCTTCCTTCCTTCCTTCCTTCCTTCCTTCCTTCCTTCCTTCCTTCCTCCCTCCCTCCCTCCCTCCCTCCCTTCCTTTCTTCCTTCCTTCCTTCCTTCCTTCCTTCCTCCCTTCCTTCCTTCCTTCTCCCTCCATCCTTTTACCTTCTCCTTCTTCACATGCATACATGCATATGTATGAACATGTGGATGAATGTTCACAAGCTCCTGGAGGCTAGAGATCAACCTTGGATACTGTTCAGGAGTCTGTATTATTTTTTGAGACAGGGTCTCTCACGAACTTGCATCTCCATAATTAGGCAAGGGTGGCTGGTCAGTGAGCCTGTCCCTACCTCCCTGTTGCTGGAATTACAAATATGTAATTTTTAGCATGACTACTTTTTTTTTTAAAGACAGAGTCTCACTGTGTGTCCTGGCTAGCCTGGAGCTCCCTATGTAAGCTAGGCTATCCTCAAACTCTTAGATAACCATCTGCCTCTGCCTCCTCAGTGCTGGGATTAAATGCTTGGTGTGACTAGTTTTTAATGTGGATTCTTGGGATTATATTCAAGAACTTTACAAATAAAACCAACCTTCCTTACTTTTTATTAAAAAATAAATCTTTTCTTCTTCCACCCTTTCTCCTTATTATATTTAGGTTTTTCAAGACAGGGTTTTTCTGTGTAGCCCTGGCTATCCTGGAACTCACTCTGTAGGTTAGGTTGGCCTCAAACTCAAGAGATTAGCCTGCTTCTGCCTCCCAAGTGCTGGGATTACAGATATGTACCACGATACCTGGACTAATTCTTATTTTTAAATATTTCATTTTGTTTTGCCTGTATGCCCGTAAACCATTATGTGCTTAATAACCAAAGATCAGAAGAGGGAATCCAGTTACCAGGAACTGGAGTTAACAAATAGCCACCATGAAGATATTGGGAATTGAACCCAGGTCTTCTGGAAGAGCAACTAACTAGGTTTTTAACTACTAAGCCATATCTCCAGCCTTCTTCCCTTGATTCTTTTTTGAAATGGGAATGGAATTTAGGGACCTGTACATTCTTGGTGAGTGTTCTACCATTGATAACTCAAGTTTTTAAAATAGGATCTGGTTACAAAATCCAGACTGGCCTCAAACTCTTAATCCTTCTGCTGTAACCCCCCATGTATTGGGTGCTAGGACCTTTTACGACACCTTTGACAGCTTTATAGACTAGGTAGATGGAGGGACTGGGATGGTCCCTCCTAGGGTTAGGCAGTTATTAAAAATAGGAAAGGCCCACAAGCCAGTGAGTGAACTTTCATATGCAAATCACCCAATCTAGCGCCCACACCCTAACCACTTCCTCCATCAAGCTTTTACACTGCGCTCACTATCCATCTGCTAATATCACCCAGGGTTGAGTGCACAGCATCCAGGGACAGACCTCTAGCTGGAGCTAACTGAAATGCTTGCCTGCCCATGGAAACCAACACAAGGGTTCTTGCCTGCATTTTCCCTCAGGCTCTGGTCTGCCTCCTGACTGACAGGTTGTTTCCTCTCCTTTTGGGAATTGTAAGTAATAAGTCCCTTTTTGTGGCCAGTGTCCCTGATCTGCTGGATTCACTTCTTTCCTGAGTAATGTTATGAGCCCAGGGTTGTGGCTCAGTCGGACTGTGGCTCAGTAGTACCTCAGTAGTGTCTAGAATACCTCACTGAGGTGCTACAGGCATGATTCTGTGCTATAGCATTCCCCTAGAGTCCTCCAGTGAGGGTCTGGGAGTATGGCTCAGCAAGTCCTACTTAGAATACCCCAGTGAGGGAATTCTACAAACAGATAAAAAAAATCAAAGCTCCCCCTCGCCTGCCCCAAACAAAACAAAACAAGACCTCTAAGACAGGTCAGGTGGGAGCTATCACCTCTTCCTTCAAAAATGGCGTTGTAAATGGTGGCTAGATTAATTTGAGCTTTGGAGGTGTAGGTTTCCTCATGTGAATGAGGGAACCAATCTATCCAGCCCAGTCTGGATAGCATCCTGTGGTAGCTGTAACTCTGTGCAGCCCAGGTCCAGCTTTGGGTAGGAAGGTTCCTGGGAATCCAGGAACCAGCCCTCCTCCTCCTCCCCACTCACCGGTTCTGCTCTTCGAGCTTGGCCAGCAGCTCTAGTTCATCTGGGCTGAGGTTCTCAGAGTCAGAGGTTGGGGAGCAGGTGGGTGCTGACAGCGCCTCTTGAGATGAGGAGTCGGGGCTCAGAGTGGGGCTCGCCATGGTGGGCAGGCTCATCAGCCAGGAGGGTAAGCCAGGTTACAGCTCTGTCTGGGGTTGGAGATACATGTAGTTAGCACTGGGTGGATGCCCACCTTGGACTGTGAGCTCTGGGCCAGCAGAGTCTGCCTGCTGAACCTGAGAACACTCCATCATCCCAGACTTCCCGCTTCTGGTCCACTCCCAGTTGTACCATAGATTCTATGCTGCAATCTAACCAACAGCCAAGGCTCAGCCAGCAACAGGGCCTGGGCCAGAGGATTTCTGTCATCGGAGGTCCTAAGGATTCTATGTGAAACTTCAGGGGTACAGAAGTCCCTGTTCTGTGACCTTCTCTGACTGTGCTCTGTTCTCTGCAGTGGCTTGCAGTCATGGTGGCATTTGACTTGTCCTGTCTCATCAAGAAGAGTGTGCTGCTGGCTCACATGAAGCAGTTACTCTCCACTGTTAATTGTCTGGTGTTGTCAATGGCTGGAACAATAATGTCTCCTCGGCTGGGAAGTCAAGGCCACATCAAAGTGCCAGGAATCAGTGCTCTAAGTGGATACACAGTGGGGCTGAAGGTTCCCAGGGCACATTCTGATCTGTCTCAGCATGCCAGGGCTTCTTTCCTGGGGTCATCTGCTTAGCTTTCTGGAAGCTTTTGAGGACACTGTCTTTTCTGATTTCTGTCTGTCTATTGATAAAAACAAATGCTTAGCTGGGAAAAGGCTGATCTGTGAAGTGCTTGACACATAAGCATGAGACCTGAGTGTGATCCCCAAAACCCATGTAAAATGCTGGTGTGGTGCTGTGTGTTTTCATCTCAACACTGGAGATAGGCAGGAAGGTCCTTGGGGTGCACTGACAAGCTAGCTGAACTAAACTGGTGAATTTCAGACCTTGAGAGATCAGTGCTCTTCCGGAGGACTCAAGTTTGGTTTCCAGCACCCACATCAGGTGGTTCACAACTGCCTGTAATTCCAGCTCCAAGGGATGAGACTCCTCCTTTAGGCAAATATATGGTGTACATTCACACAGATACACATATACATGCAAATTAAAATCTAAAAATAGATATAAAGCAAAGTAGACAGTATCTAAAGGACAACAGCTGTGGGTGCCCTCTGGCCTCCACCTGCACACTCACCCACCTACTACACACTGACAAAAACAAAGCAGAAAAGTTGTAGACTCATATAAAGTCATATGCTTGAAGCTTGGCTCTCAGTCAATGAGCTGTGTGATTTTAGACAGTCAGTGAGCTGCTCTGGTCTCTAGAGACTAGACTCCATTAAGACCAGAGGGTGGCTCCATTCAGGGTGGCTATGAACCAAACATGCTCTGAGACCACGCTGGAGGGCTTGCTGAGAGAGCGAGTTGCTAGGGTCTGCTACGGCATGAAGGGGACTGGAGGCAGAACTGGCATTTCTGGGCCAGAAAATGCTCTGAAGAAATGACTTAGTTAATAAAGCACACAGCACTGAAGGCATAAGTTTGGATGCCCACAATCTGCCTAAAGCTGACATAGCAGCAACACACTTTTGTAATTTCAGCCCTCAGTGAGATGGGAGGTATACCAAGGAGGTAGAAACGTGTGGGCCAGCTAGCTTGCTGTACACAGTGGGCACCAACAGGAGACCCTGACATCCAAGGTTTTCTTTAAGACCTCCAAATGCACACGGTACATGTGTACTTACACACACACACAGAGAGAGAGAGAGAGAGAGAGAGAGACACAGATTACAAGAGGAAAAGGAAGGAAAGCAGATGCTGGGGAACATGTTCCTCTTGCCTGGTTGTATTTATTTCCTCTTGGTGAGGCCAGCCAGGTTGCAGGGTCTGAGAATGTGGAGAATCCTGTGGCTGTGGAGGCAGGAAGAAATCTCTGCTCCAGCCTGGTTACATAGCATGGTATCTTCATGACTGCCCACATCCTCTTGTGCTCTATCCCACGTCCGCTCTGTGTTCTGAACCCAACCTGACCCAGTTTTGACTCATGGCCACAGAAAGGGCCCACGTGATCTTTGCAGAGGGACATCTGATTCCTTAGGCAGTGGGGCAGAGACAATGTGAGAGAGAACCCTGCTCACCCACCTGCACTGAGCACCTTCCTGTAGTCTCCAAAGAACTCCTGGGATCCCAGGTCAGATGCATTTCTCCCTAGTCATGAACCTAGTTCTGGGCTTTTCTCAACTGATGCTCTATTGTGGGTGGGGCTTGGGTTTCACAGCTCTCATTTCACTCTGTGAGGATCTCAGAATCCTCTGTCCTCAGGAACCTGACTCCCCATAGAACCAGGGATCCAGGGTCTGTCTCCATCCCTGAGTGCTCCCCAACTCTATTTGGAGGCAGAGCACTCTGGTTTTGATCCCCACCCTCCTCTTTCTCCCTCTCTCTCCCTCTCTGCATGTGGAGACCTGAGGTTGACATCAGGAATTATCCTTGATCCCTCTTCCACCTTATTCAATGAGGCAGGCTCTGTCAATCAAACCCAGTACAGGCAGAATCCCTGCACTGGCATTTATGTGGATTCTGGCGATTGGAATACCAGTCCTAAAACTTGCATAGTAGGTGCTTTAATCCCTCCCCAGTCCAGGGTTATAGGGTTTTGTGAGTGCCAGGTTGGCTGGGGATCCCCAGTCCTAAAGGTTTTCAGTTAGTTATAAATTGCTGAACTAGGGGTTAATTTCTGAGGGAGAGACAGCAGGGGCTGCTACAGGACCTCTTGCAGTGTCAAAGTCTGTGGATAGACAGGACTTTGACCACAAAGTGCTGAGGCAGAACGATCTTTCTAGGCAGGGCCAGCCTCAGAATTGGGAGAATATAGGAGAGGCAGTGGAGGCAGGGATCCAGAACTACTGGTGGATTTGGGGAGTGTTGAGAGCTCAGAGCAAGAGCACCTACGGATAATGAGGTAGCCTGGGATTACCCAGTGTCTGATAAGCAGAGAGAGCCCAGCCTCAGAATGGGCTCCACCCTTGCTCTCATCATTCATACTCCTACACAGATTTACACACACCACACACACACACACACACACACACACACACACACTCTGATGTATACATATTCATACACACATTCAAGCACATATGGTTTCACATATACACACTTGGACATACATTCATAAATATCAACACATACACACATACTCAGATTTATATTCTTGGAGTACATACATACTCCTTCACACTCAGACATAGCACATATACACAGGGTACTTGTGGCTCACACATATTCTTTTGAAGTTCATCGATACCCATACTCCTCAGTTGTCTTGGCCTATGGCATGGCTGGTAGGTTCTCTTGAATACTTTAATGGAGGTGGGAAAACCCATTGTGGGTGGACTGTTTCAAGAGAAAGTGACTGAAGCACTAGAGTTTATCTCTCTGCTTCAGATTGTGAACACAATGTGTCCCTGAAGTCTCTGCTGCTGTGACTACCCTGACATGGTAGAGACATGAACACACCCATTCTCCTGAAGGTGCTTTTGTCTGGATATTTTATCACAAAACAGAAAAGACAGCAGTCTAGGTTGGCCTCAAGCTTGTAACCCTCTTTCAGCCTTCTGAGTACTAGGATTCACAGGTGTCAGCCACCACATCTGTCTCCTGGCTTCTGAAGTTAGTCAGAGCAGAGGGCTGGGGAAAGATGGTGCTGCTGGGCAAGGATCATGAGGGATAAATAGAACAGCCCAGATGTCAAGTGTCTGTGAGCTCCTTCCTCTTCTCCCTCACTGGCATTTGGGCGCTGCTGGCCAGCCTTTCTTTTTTCCTTGAAGCCTCTCCTATCTAGTTAATAAGGACTGCTTCCTGCTCATCTTCCTACCTCTCTGGCCAGGGCATCCTGGTCACCTGTGTGTCACCTCTCCCTCCATTACCATGCAGAGTCTCTTGTAACCTGAGCTGGCCTCAAACTCACAAAGTAGCTAAGGATGCCTTTGAACTCCTGATCTCCCTGTCTCCTAAGTGCTAGCATAACAGGTCTCTGCAGTCTTGTCGGTTTATGCAAGGATGGAATCCAAAGTTGTGTGCATGCTATGTACACTCTTAGAGTTTTAATTTTATTTTTTAAGATTAATTTTCTGGCTGGGTGGTGGTACATGTCTTTAGTGCCAGGAGGCAGAGGCAGGCAGATCTCTGTGAGTTCAAGGCCAGCCTGGTCTACAGAGCAAGTTTCAGGACAGCCAGGGCTACTACACACAGAGAAACCCTGTCTCAAAAACCAATATATATATACACATATATATACACATATTTTTTTCTGCATATGAATATTTACTGCTTATATGTAAGTGCCCCACATGTGTGCCTGGTGCCTGTAAATGCCAGAAGAAGGCACTGGGTCTTCTTGAACCAGAGCTAAGGATGGCTGTGAGCCACCATATGGGTGCTCCAGTTACAAGTTGTATGTTTCCACTTACATGAAATATGCAGATTAGATAATTCTGTAGTGTCAAGAAATGGATTATTGCTTTCCATTGGCAGAGACCAGAGGAAGTAGAATGACTGCCTAGAGCATAAGGGGTGTCTAGAATTAAATAATGGTGATGGCTGTACAACACTGTGCATGTGATAAACTTTAGGTGGGCAACTTTTACATTATATCAGTTATACCTTAATCAAAAGGATGAAGGATAAGTTAGGCTACAAAGGAACTATGCACAGAAGACAAGACAGGGGGCAGGGCCTGATGGGCAGGCCTGTAATCACAGCTATTCAGGAGATAGTACAGAAGAACCACAAGTTTACGGCCAGACTGGGCTGGAGGGTGAGTTCAAGACAACACAGAGAGACCCTGTCCAGAAAAATAAAATGAGTTGGGAAACCATGCATGATGGCCCATGCCTACCATCACAGCACCTGGGAGTCTGGCAGGAGGATTACAAGTTCAAGATTGCTATTGGCTACATAATGAGTCTCAGGTTAGCCTGGGAAACATGATACATTGTCTCAAAATTTAAAAAAATAATAAAGTAGGAATATAACTCACTTGCCTAGCATGCATGAAGCCCTGTACTAAAAGAGAAAACAAAATAAAACCCAAAGCAAAAAACAAAAGGAGAGGGCTGGAACACCACAAGTAGAACAATTCTGCAGTAATCAGAGCTTTTCTCTCAAGGCCTACGGACTAGGGTGACTAGCTGACTCTAGTACATTCTTTCTTCCCCCTTCCCTCTCTATTTTGTTTTTTGTTTACAGGCATCATCACCATGCCCAATTTTGTGTAGTGCTGTGGTCAGAGCCCAGGGCCTGGAGCATGCTGAATGAGCAGTCTGCTAGTTGAGCTTCAGCTCTGTTTCAATGAAACATATAATTAATTAGTGGTGTGTATGTGTGTCATGGCACACATGTGGAAGTCCAAGGACTGTGAGAGTCAGTTCTGTACTTCCACCCCAGTGGGCATCTCTGGGATTGAACTCAGGCTGTCAGGGTTGCCGGTAAGTGCTTTTCCCTGCTGAGCCATGCATCTCTCCAGCTCTGAACATTCCCTTTTCCTTTTGTAGACTCATTTTATGAGTGTTTGGTCTGGATGTATGTGTGTGCACCTGCTGCCCTTGGGTGTCAGAAGAGGATGTTGTACTTCCTGGAACTGGAGTTAAGGATGGTTGTAAGCCATCAAGTGAATGCTGGGAACTGAACTTTGAAAGAGCAACACATGCTCTTAACCACTAAACTGTCTACCCCCACTTTAAGCATGCTTATTACAAAATCTTTCTGTCAATC